GCGGGGCGTGGCGGGGGCCTGTCCCCTCCAGTGCCAGCTAGGATAAACCCAGAACAAGCTCCCTCTACTCCCTTTCCTCTCTCCACTTCCATTTTGACAACAGTACCAGGGCTGGGAGGAGTATTGCTAAAGGAGACTAGCTGCCGTCTCAGCCAGCAGCTGGATTCTCCAACCCCCAGGACCCAACAGCAAACTTCTGTTGGGTCTGGGGAGATCACTAACTCATGGCATTTACAAGGCACCAGGAATTACAATGGGGAGCTGCTCTTCTGTCCTCACCTTACGTTACCAACCCTGAACTAGAGGAACAGTCTTTTCACAAGTAATCCCTGTGAATTCCACAGAACTACACCTGTACTTGCAAGCAGGTCTTGGCCAATGGTCTTTAGAAACCAGAAAGGACAAACTCCAACAGCCTGCCTGTATTCCACAGGGACTTTATTGAAAGTTGATATATGCACACTATAAATCACCTCATCCCTAAGTGCCATGGAAGAGTGTTGTGACTTCATCTTCTAAGTCTACAGAGACAAAGTGACAGCTCAATACGGGGAAAGCTCAAAGACTGTTGAATCGCTGTGTCCTACTTTATGAATCTAAAGTAGCTGTAGCATCCTAATTAGCGCCACCATAGAATTGTTTCATGATATTCTTGTAAGAGTTACCAGGACACAAAGGGAAACAGCATGCTGGAACGCTTTGTACTGCACCACACATACCTCTTTTAGAGGTCTGAAGATGATCTGCATTCAACTGAAGTAATAAAATAAATAAATAAATAAATAAAATAAATAAAAATCATAAAGATAAGGTATAATATCATCATGTTTGAGAACCCATTAATCAACCATGAAATACAGCACTGGAGGTAAAGTAGCTTGAAGAGTTGCTCCGTATATAATAAGTGCATAGATCCATAACATGAAATCAAAGAATAAAACATTCATAAGAAACCAAATCCTGGTACCAAGAGTAGTTGTTTTCTTAAAACAGGAAAGAGTAGAACAATTCAGAGATAAATACAGATGCTTATAACATAACATATTCTATTCATGTTTCACATTTGAGGTTGCCATGTTATTTGTTCAGATATTTAAAGTTCTGCCTATTTTTAAATAAAAAGGTAAGCAGCCAGAGAACAGCAACTGTGTCTTTAATATGTGCATGTGCTTATCTAAATTCAGATTGAAGTGATGCATGAAGCCAGTCAAGGTGGGTCCAGCCGAATCTTAGTGATGAGTGAAAGCGACGAGAATCTTTCCAGTAGGAGAAGGTAAGAACGCCGATTCATCGCCTTATTGTCCAGATATAACTTTTTCCTTTTGTGCTATATGGGAAGTAGAATATAGAAGCCAGTAATTGCAGTATTTCTCTCTCAAGACCACCCGAGCAAAAGGTCATTCATTTTCTCCAAGATCAGATTTAGTCACTTACTCGGCAAGTCCTTCAACTACCCACCACCTTTAAAGACCATTTGGCTCTCTCTCAAAAAGACTTTCACCAGAATAAAGAGGCTGGAAGGAAGAGGTCGAGTTCAGTAAGAGTCATTTAATATTTGTTGAATTTAGAGTTAGAATTGGGAACATTGATTTTATTATTATAGTGCTATTCTTGCATACAGCAAATGAACTTTGCAAATTTATGCAAAAGGTTTAGTTTAATACAGACAAGAAATTAAGATAAACTTGAATCTAACCCCTCATAGCAGAAGATGAGTGTGCACATGCACACATACATGCAGGAGACGTATACAATATGCATCTTCATTTTTTTAAATGCAAATAGTGCTGGCCTGCTGCTTTCTCTGACTTTTTGAAAGGCTATGCCATAAAACTTGAGGATTCATTTTAATGATACTGAATCCTTAAATCACATTTAGAGCATGCAAGAAATAGTATACGAGCTAGCAGGATTGCACTCTTTAGCCTAGATCGGGAGTAGCCAACTTGTGGTACATGTACTACAGACAGTCTCTGCATGTGGTACATGGCAGATCAGGGAGGGGACAAGCAACAGTAGGACAGGAGGCAGAAAACAGTAACAGACTGGGCGACGCAAGGGGATTTGAGTGGCACTTGGGGAAGGTTGAGGACTAATTTTGACATGCCTCCCAAAGTTTAGCCCCCACTGCCTACGACAATGAAAGAAACTGACTTAGTTACCCTTTCCTCCCACCGTGTTCTCACTGTAGTGTAGTTGCAGACTTGTTTTGTATATCTAGATATCCCCATCCACAAGTGCGATAGCACAGGGCTCAGCAACTAGTGGCCCATGGGCCAGATCCAGCATGCAGCAACTGGATCCAGCCTGCAGCAGTTTAGGGGATTGGCAGAACACTTGAGCCCCAGCAGCAGTGGAAGAGGCATCTCCTTCTAGGATCCCATTGCTTGCTGTGTTTAATTTGGTCTCTGCTACACCAGGATCATAGCACCTGCCTATTATCTAATACCCGCATAGTACCTGCTCATTGCCAGGGAGGTGTGGGGCTAGGACCTTCAGTGCGGCCCCCACTCCGCCAAGCCATGGGCAGCAGCTTGCTGTGGCAAAACGTTGGTCAACCCCTGGTCTAATGGGTTTACAATTCTCACGGGAAATAACCCAGACTTTTCCCCTACAAGTACTAAAAATGCTTTTCTGGTTAAAAGGTGTTGTTTTTTTTCTGACTTATGAAACATTAAACTGGATCACTGTACTGACACTTAAAATTGGAGACTGATTGATTTATGTTCCCCGTGTATACAACCACAAAATGCATATCATTAAGTGTCACATTATAAGGTTACTTCCTGAATTCCAAGTTGCCATCCCCTCCCTTAACGGAATAAATAGAAATGCAAATCTCCTATGCTGCATGTAGCTTTGCAGATGAAGATAAACCCGTACTGGAGCCCACATCATTATACAGGCAGATCTTTAAAAGGTGACAGATAATAGTTTGCAATGAACTTTAGGAAAGTGAGGCTGTTTCCATGTTCATATCCCCTAGGTAGATACTAATCCCCTTAGGGATGAGCATATTGGTCAGAACATGGGAAAGATTTAATCTAATGGTGAGAGAAAAAAAATAAAAATAAAAAAAAGTGAACATGGCATGGAGCCTCAGGCTGGGAAAGAGGTTTTTGTGAGATAAATGACAGATCAAGGGAGATGGCTGAAGGGGAAATTAAGGTTTGGACACAGATGAATGGGTACAAGACGGGGTACACACATGCCAGCCATGGATGTCAAGCCCTCTCAGAGGGCTACGTGCATTCATAATTCAGTTTAAAAGAACCAAAAAAAAAAAAAGCGCAAGATAACCAGGGGAAAATTTTAGAGGACAGTTTTTAAAAAAAGACAAAGAACATTTACCCATTTTAAAAAAAACAAAACACACACAAGTCTGTTTATTCAAAACAGAAACCATTTACAAAAAACAACTGTCTTATAGTACAGACCAAAAAAATTCAAGAATAAATATTTATGCTTTTGTATAAAAATTAGTAATAAAGAAAAATGGATGCAAACCAACAAACAGATAAAACTTAAATTTCAGCATTAAACGTTTTGTGCAAATGTCAAAACTTAATTGGCAAGTGACCATTCAGGCTGATGCAATTTTACTGTCAAGTAAAACATCCCAGCCCTGCATTGGAGCAGACAAGCCTCTCAAAACAGAGCATCCAAATCAAGGTGAACATGTTTAGAACCAGAAGTTAGAATGACCTAGCTTCTCCATATTCTGGAAGGAGTACCTTCATATCTTCCTTCAAAAAAATTTATAAAGCCATTTTCTCCCTTTGCACTGCAACAAAGTATACTATAAACATCAGTCATTTTAAAGCTAAACACATGTAAAACAAATGCATTTCAAAGTGTTCAAAACCAACTTAGCTTCGCCATGGGTAAAAATGTCAAAATTAAAGTTACAAGTTACAGGTGTCAAATTGAGCCCTAATACTACAGACACTTATGCATGCTTTAATTTTATTTGGGAATGAGGGTAAAGCCTTTACAAGGTTGAGGCTTGCATCCAAAAAGAATACTGTTCTTCTTACTATTTTACACCAGCTGGGTGTTCTAGAGTGAATTTGCTCCCAGTGACATTTATCGATATCTCTTGCAGAAATCTAGATCTAAAAACTTGTAACCTTTTGACATCACCAGTTTCCTTTAATGGAAGCTAATCAGTGCAGTAAAGAACACACAACAACAAACCTCTTAATGAGAAAAACCATAGATGAACTGGACTATTGCATTGCAAGATTTGAAGATACCAAGTTATGGACCATTAGCCAGCAGAATGAGAGGAAAGGAATTTCTGTATTTTTCCAGACAGTGCTGATAAATCACCAAGCCTCCCTCTGTACGCTCTCCATGGACCCAACACTAGGGTTTGGCTAGGGTTAAACTGAAAAGGTTTTTTCAGTTTGTCAAGACAATCCACTGCCTTTAGTTTTACTCCACTCTAGTAGATCATCATCAGGCTTTTATCCCTATGGGAAGAGTAGGGAAACAATCTGCAAAGAGTCCAATATGAATGGTGTTCCAGTAACTAACTGATAGAAGCTAACTCTTGTGCCTTGCCTACACTTGCCTCTCTATAAATGCCTACCATTGTTGCCCTTCTGGGAGGGAGGGAGGGAGGTTGCAGCAGCTAAACCATGAACTTCAATCTAGACCTGCTTGAGTGAAGTTAGGCAACATCGTGGTTCATGTCTTTAGCGCCTCTACTTTCTAGCTTTGCCTGAATGGAGGGAAGCGTGGCTAGGGAATAGACATGCTCCCAGGAAAGGACATAAAGCTCCTGAAGCCAGAACACTAACTACAACAGCCCAAATGCTATTAAGCAAGAGAGATAATTTCCTATCCCTTGCTTGCATTGCTGCTGCTGAATAAGGATTCATATTTCAAGCCTTCTAAAGTGATATTTGGTTTGATCCAATCCATGTAAGAGCTCATACCACTGTCAAAACCAAATACAGTTCAATACTGTTTGCATCCACACAAAAAGCAATTAGAATTGCTAACTATGACAACACCGATTTGCAGAGACTATTAAAAACAGTGAACTCAAAACTAACAACCAGGAAGATTGTCCATTCTTCCTCCCCAAACCGTGCTTTATGGATTAGTCCTGTTGTTCATCATGCAAGAGAGGCAACAGCAACATCCAAAATGGTATTGAGGTTACAGGTTTTGTTGACACTCCCTACTTCACAAAACTGCGATCTGTTCTTGAAACCATTTAGCTTTGGAGAAAGCCACTTAGTGCTTTTCCTCCTCTTTCAATTCTACACCTTAAAGGTCTTCAAGAATCTCTATCGATAATTTTCCACCATATCCCTCTTTATACAGTCTAACCTCATTTTCAGCTTCTCATGCATCCCGATTTGTTAATACTTGGGCATCGAATTTGGCCTCTTAGGAGAGGTCCCCCAGTAACAGTAATAACTTCAGCTGTTTATTGTGGGGGGGGGGGGGGGGGGGTGTTTTTTTTTAAATTTTCATGTTAAAAAACAAAAACCACCCAAGAAAAAAGGACCACCCCAAACAGGCTATCTACCTGGAGAGGAGGCAAGCATTTTTGCCACTGGAAGGCCAGACCCCCATCTTAAAGTATACTTTCAGAGAGTTAGATTAGAGAGTGTATGCATACCACTGAGAAAAATAAATAAATAAATAAACAAACAAACAAACAAACAGCACCTAAAAAAAAAAAATTGTTGTTGAAACCGGTATTTCCTAAGTTAACATTGAGAAGCCATTAATTCATCCTCCCATAAATTCACTCCCAATCTAAAAAAAAAAAGACCTCACAACACTTGAAGGAGCTATTTCGGACAATCTGAATGCCATTTCCCCCTCTCCACCACCACCCCATCTCCTCACAGGGTTTAAGAAACAGTATGTTAACAAGTTTTAACCTCCACCACCACTTTGAAGATCATGTAGATTTTAGAAGTGTTTTACTTTGCTGTTTAGCATTTCTTTTTTTTTTTTTTTAAAGTAAACACATGCAACTTTTACTCAAAACTTTTAAAAGGTGCCACTACATCCTGCTTTCATAAAGCTAAGAGTTTAACTTCCTCTTTTGGAGAGTGTTACATCATAGTCAAAAATTGTTCAACAGGTGCACCAACGACATGCCATTTCATTTTCTTGTAGTGTTGTGCCCGTTTACACTCTGGCATTCGAAACGTAAGAATGAATGCAGTTAACAAGGCTTCTCGATGCTGGACTCACCAAGTTCACTTACTTTTCATAGGACATTGTCACATCTAAAAAGATTATTAAATGAATGCATGAACTGACTTCTATGCAAGACAAATTCCTAGAGGGAAAGGATGGAAAACCAATGTGGACACGTAGAAAGTTTAATACAGTAATAAAGAGCTATTCTGGTAAAGTTCCTGAACAACAGATTAGGATTCCTCTCCTCCCACTGCCCCAAAAAGCTATTCACATTTTAAACGTTACCTCTTTTTCATGTTTACATATTTTAGATAACAGTTATGAGTTGCAGTTCCATTTTGGCTCAGTAAACATGTATGCAGATATTCAAGTATTAGGAAAATGCAGCAGAGCAAGGATACGTTTCCTGATAGTGTATCCTGCAAAGCAGCCAGATGTTAACAAGTTTGCAGTACATTCTACTAAGAAACCCAGAGGTAACGTTTTTGACTTTGGGGTCCGTCGCCTGCTTCCACAGGCGATGAAGGTCTTCTACATGTCCGTGAGAGGTCATCATTTGGTTGTAAATACAAGGATGATATGGGGCCTTCCCTTCCCCGGAAAAAAATACATGATATTGTGGTACAATTCCCATTTTATTGGCACAGAGACCCATGAAAACATCATCTATATAGAGACTTGTATTAAGAGTCTGTGAAGCCTCATATACTTTAGCTGCTACATCGCTTGATATTACATAAGCAGCCCCGGCTGTGTAGTCAGGATAAGAAGGCCACTGGTACATTTCATATGGGACATAGTATTTGCTTGACTTATCTCGCACGGGAGGGGAGCCACGATGGACACGGCCAATCCAGAGATCTTGAACTCCCATTTGGGCAAGACTTTGAAGATAAGCCACAAGGTTTGGCATGTGGATAAAGATGTCATCATCAGCAGACATAATGAACTTTGCATGAGGACAGTACGCATTCACCCAGCTAAACTGCAGAAGTAACTTAAGGGTAAGATTGTGAAAAGTATCCAGGAAGTCTTGCTGAATCAAGTCATTATATGTCTGGTCTTCTAAGACAAGTTTTCTTTGCACCTGTGCTTGCTGCGTACGATCTGTTAGTCGCCCCAAAGCAAAAACCACTTTAATGTTGGCATTCAGTTGAGAACGCACGTAGTTCTCATTACCCCACGTTTGTCTAATCGCATTGCGCCGATACCAGTTTTCAGGAGAAGTCTTTACAAACAATAGGAGGAGGACATCTTGCTGTTGGCATTTCTCCTTGTGATTGATCAAGTATGGGTAGCTTGCTACTCTGTTCAAACTGTGCTTGCTAATAGACAGGCTCTCGTTCACAAAGTCATAGCTATTTATGAGGTATCTGTAAGAATAGGACTTCATATGGTTCATGATGTTATTGTCAAGGGGTGTCCAGAAAATCATGAGACCTACTATGCAACAAGTGGCAACTACCTGCACAAGCTTTCTGGCTTTCCTGACGCTGACAAACATCCTGCCACAGTCCCTTCGACGCTCGCTCCAAGTCAGGCTGGGCGTCCAAGGTGTCCTCGTTTCAGCTTTGGAGTACAGAATTCCCCCTTCAAGATAAGCATCCATCGTAAGCCATGCCGTCTTCCCGCAAGTCAGCTGTGCACGCAGCCTGCAGAAGTCATCTCTTTTTCAAAAGCCAGCTCGCCGCCACGGACAGAGTACGGAAGAATTCAAACGACAACACCGGGAGAGCGGACGTTTTCTTCTGCCGCATTTTTAGGTGGCATAAAACACTACGAAATGCCAGACTGAGGTTCTCTTACATGCTCCTTTGCTTCAGAGGCCTGTCAATGCAAAGAAGGGCGGGGGGGAGGGATAATAATAATAAAAAAAGATGTTAGTGAAGAATTGTCATTTCATGACCACAGATTTTAAAAGATCCCTTTTGGTGGAAGGAGTCAAATCTGAGCTGTATTGAATTGGACGGGGCTCAGATAATGGTCCCTTACATCTGAGGAAGAGAAAAAGAGATCTGAAGAGCTGGACTGAGCGGCTGCGTCAGTTTGAGACCAAAAGAAATGCCAAAATCTACAACTCTTGATCTAAATCAAAGGTATCACGTCCGAGCCAAATAAAAAAATTGGTCATCTTCTGCAAAGCTTTCAGGCACACGTGCCCAATGGAGACATCATCCTGCCTGACCTCCACAGCGAACAGCAACCCCGAGGGACCAGACTCCACTCCCTCCGTGCAAAAATTAATAAATAAATAGGATTTTTTTTTTTTTAATTTCCTACCGATGGGGGACTTTTTACCACCTTTAATTCCCCCCCGCCTCTCCCCGAGCCAAATGAAGGGCGTGCGCCTGCAGTCTTGCAGAAAAAGACACTTTTTTTTTTTGGCCATTTCTTAGTTGGTCTAGTAGCCGGTCTCCAAACTGAGAGCGGGAGAGACGCTTGCATTCCTCTGAATTTGGGGACTGCAATATGTCCTTGAGGCAGCGGAAGGCTGGGCGGTGGAGATGGACTGCATTTCTTGAGGTAACAACCCCCAAACTTACTTCCTCCTCCCCCCCTTCCAAAAAATCAACCCCCGCTCCTCTCCCTCACCAGTCTGAGGCTTTCCTCAGCCCTGCCATCCCTCAGCCCCCTCAGGGGCAGGACAAGGAGGCTGCTGCTGCCATCCTCCTCCTCCTCCGGGCTCAGGGCAGCAGCGGCACAGGGGCAGGAGCACGGGGTTGCAGCGCTACCCCTCCCCCCCATCCAAAAAAAAAAGCGGGAACGCCGCGCAGGGCTCTGAGGGGACTTCCGGTACCCCCGCGGGAGCCATTTCCGGAGAGGGGGCGCGCCCCTCCCCCGCTATTGGATGGCGCCGAGCCACGCCCCCTTTAAATGCTGAGGGACCCCTGTCAGAGGCAGCTCAGTCCCCTCAGCCCTGCGCTGGCGCAGGACGGGCCGGGGATGCTGTTAGCTGCCCGTTGCAAAGCGATTGGCAGGTGGGAGGGGAGCACTTGGAGCCGGGGG